GAAATGTGAAGCTTAGACATTTTTTGTAGTGATGAATATACGCCAAAGTTTACTGGGTGCCTAAAAATGTGATTTCATTAATTGACTAGAGTCTAGAGTCGACTATATTAAATGAAATGCAAAGAAAAGACTGATGTTAATGCAGAAATTGCAAATCTTATAGAAGTACGTAGACTAGCCTTAAGGGCTCTCTCGAAATGTTTTTTTAATGATATTATTCGAGAGAGCCTTAAACGGCTCCCATACCCCTGCACGGAGAGGCATGTAAACAAAACTCAAAAGTGGTCCAAAATCACACTTTCGCGCACCCGAACAATATTGGACAGTGGCTTTGATAAATTTTGTCGTAGTTTTGGTCTTAATTAGCGCTTTAATTTCAAAATCGGATCTAAAAATAACAAAATAAGAGCAATTTTCTTACCAGACCGATACAGCTCAGCTCCCTTTTCACGTGTACCGTGTGAATTCACGATGTCTACACAATGGTGATGACCTCTGACTAGCACTTCGTAAATGTGCTGCTTCCGTATAATGCGCTGAATAACACTCATACAGCGCATTATACGGAAGCAGCACAATTTACCCACAATCACGGAAGTGCCAGTCAGAGGTCATCACCATTGTGTAGACATCGTGAATTCACACGGTACACGTGAAAAGGGAGCTGAGCTGTATCGGTCTGGTAAGAAAATTGCTCTTATTTTGTTATTTTTAGATCCGATTTTGAAATTAAAGCGCTAATTAAGACCAAAACTACGACAAAATTTATCAAAGCCACTGTCCAATATTGTTCGGGTGCGCGAAAGTGTGATTTTGGACCACTTTTGAGTTTTGTTTACATGCCTCTCCGTGCAGGGGTATGGGAGCCGTTTAAGGCTCTCTCGAATAATATCATTAAAAAAACATTTCGAGAGAGCCCTTAAGGCTAACGTAGACAGGCATAGCAGAGAACCTTTTTTAAAGATCTAGAACTAGGGTATATGCCTTTCTTTAATTGTATGGCTTTATGAATTATGGACTGCCACTACAGAATGAACAGATCACATTTTAAATTCTAGGCACCCTGGGGGCGCAATTTTTTTTAACACGCTAGCCTGGCCATTTCTATGATAAACACCATGGAAACGACTAATATTAGTCTAGCAGCCTACATGTGAGGTGCATGATGATACACATGTACATCATGCATGACAATCGTCAGATAAAGACATAGCTGGCCCTTGTAAATGAGACGGCCACTGCAGCCATCGGGCGATGGAATTCAAAAACTTAATTTATTTTAATTTAGGAACTTTACATTAATCTTTATCGAAGGAGACACGAACGAACGAATGTTCAGCTAGAGAGCAACCAAGTTAAACTGCGGTAGTACCGGTACATGCCTACATGTAGGCTTTACCACCAGCGCACTTTTACGAGTATTACGGCGAAACTGGCCAGACTAGGGTGTAAAAAAAATATTCGCACCCTGGGGCTGGGCACCCCGTGCAAAACAAGTGCATGCCTGATGCCATTGATGCCCGATGAATCATTGATGGCATGCGAAAGTGCACTGGCAGTGGTACTTGAGCCAACTTTGTAATGATTATCATTAAGCCTTTAAGGCTATTTATTTTTTCACTTTTAATGTTGTTGATATCCATTCGAATTCGAACACTCAAAAACACTCACAAGAGTCTACTCACTTGCTCACACATTCACTGCACTGCACTGCATGCATGCAGTGGACTCACCTATCTCGGAAAAAAAGAAGAAGATGGGAACGCCTTTTCTGACTGTCAGAGAGGTCGTTTTCTTGCTCCAGCTTCCAGGTTACAAATGATTATCGGTCACAATCAAACGTCTATAGACACACGCTCAAACAGAATTCAAACTTGGAAAAGAACTCGGGCGACTGGGCATCTTTCATCACCAATTAGAATTTGTACAAAAGGATTTGGTACCACTAGATTCAAAACAGTACGAGACGCAGGCGACTAGTCTCGATCGCAATCAAATCGTATGAGATGCGGCGCGGCGCGGCTTGCTCGCTCCGCACACATACAGTCACAGGTCAGTGGTATAATCAGGGAGGTGGTATAATATACAGCAGCAAAATCCGCCGAAGAGATTGAGAAAGGTTCACCATTCCATTACCGTGGACTTGTAATACTTCCGGTTTGATGTTGAGGACGATTCGATAATTCTAAGGGGAGGTCAAAAGCAGAGAGTAGGGGATTTGATGGTCTACAGCTTTCCTTTTTCTTTTCCTTATTTGTCAAGTATAGGATACATCTGGAACACAAGCCAGTGGCGGATCTAGGGGTGGTGGGGGGGGGGGGGCAGGAGTCCGGCCCCCTCATCTTGGAAAAACCGGGTAAAAACACATTAATTTTACCTTTAATTTGGAGACGGGCCCCTTCCCCTGCTGCTCAAGGTTGGGGGGGGGGGGGCACGTGGCCCCCGAAAAATTCTAAGATCGGTTGAACATTTTTGACCCCTTTTTTTTACCTCGATCGATTACATGTATATGCCCCCCCCCCCCCTCCCCAAACATCAAACTCTGGCTACGTGCCTGGGGGGGGGGGGGGGGTGCGATTCTCACATTTTCGAGGGCAAAGGCAAAACAAAACAAAAATTAGTGCTCACTCCCCGAAATTTAAATCTTTCAGGTGCCCCTTTTTATCTGAAGACTCCAAAGTTTGAGTAATTATTTTCGGGGCCTACTTTGAATATGCTTAATTGTGTATGGCCAAGTGAAGTTTCCTCCATGTACCCTTCTTGGATCTACCACTGTTTATATGTTTATATGATATACTATTCCATATTTTCACACCCATAAATGTTATTTAAAATGTGGTTTTGCATTTAGGCAGATATAGTTGTCCATGTTTTTTACCTGACAGTATTCAATTAAGGAGTGAGGAAGATTGCCATTTAATAAGTCAAAGCATAGATGGTGAAGGTTGAGACAGATAGGAATTGAAGGTTGTAAATATTAAAAACTTTTATCTTTCTTAACAGGGGTTCCGAATGGGTACCTCTTGGGCTAAAGTTACCGCTCCATCATCATTTTCTGGGTAAGGAAAATACAATTCAAGTTGGTTTTGTATGTGGTTCCCCATACTTTAATTCCATACAAAATATGTGACTAGATTAACGCTTTGTATAATAGCACTAAAATGTCCAGGGAATACGTGAACGAATATTTCGACAGTATCATTTTTATTTGTTCAATCCGAATGAGATACTTATCAATTTGTATTCCTACAAAATATGCCTTATCTACTTCAAGTAATTTAGTTCCAGATATTTCGAGAGCACCCTTTATTTGGACAGATCTCCTTTTGCCCTTTATTATCATAAAATTTGATTTGCTAACATTATTGTGACCTTGTTAAATCGAATGATACTTTTAATTAATACTTTAAAAGAACATCAAAACCAAATAGACATAATTAAAATTGGCGATATGCAAATCTGAACAACAAAACCTTGAAGGCTTTAATTAAATGAGCGCATAGACTCATAGAGATTCCTAATTTAACAAGTAACATAAGCCTATTCACTATTAAGGCCTGAAGTTCTGAATAGAATAGGAAATATAGTCAAGTATGCAGTACATATTTTGAACCAAAGTCGATGTCAATATTTGGAAAGGCTTTTTCCCCTTTTACAGTGACAATGTTCTTATCAAAGATGCAACAAAATGGACACGAGGTGTGTGTGTGGGGGGGGGGGGGTGAGTTAGGCAGTGGCGGATCCAGGGGGGCCGGGGGCCCAGGGGGCCCGCCCCCCCCCCCCCTTGAGAAAAAAAAATCATGTAAAAACACGTGATTTTTACCTTTTTGGGGGGTTGGGCCTCCCCCCCCCCCTGGAGCTCAAGGGGGGGGGGGGGGTGCAAATTTTTCGGGAGCAAAAAAAAAAAAAAAAAGTTGGGCCCCTTCCCTTAAGAAATCCTGGATCCGCGCCTGGAGTTAGGTCACCATTTTGGGGCTCAACTTTTAGTAGAACGGCATAGGTCTTTCAAAATAAAAAAGGGCGATGTTTAATGTTGAAAGAAGATTGGCGTAGATGGCGCTTGACCATTTTTGTACCTGATGACTGTTCAACCGTTCAAGTCGCAGTCGGAAGTATTATGGGCGACTTCTCGATATATTATACTCGAGTCGGTTGTCACTATACATTTGCAAAAAATGTCGAATATACATTTGGAATCAATATGTTTGTTTCAATTGTTTTGTTTGGGTTTTTCTTCAAAAGTATACAACTGAAATAATAAATTCATAAATAAACCTCTCTGGTCAATGCGAAGAGAGTGAGCAGAAAAGCATGAAGACATTTCTTTAATAAATGACAGTTTATAATACTAATACGAATAATAATCTTTTAAAGTCCACTCCAAATTTTATCAAGTTAAACCGAAAATGGAAATTCTTTTTCCCAATTAATCGGAGCTTCTATATAAGAAAACAAGCATTCTATTTTGCACTAAATGGATCCAGAGTAATTTAAGAAAATAAAATTAAAATAGGTTAATTATTCCGAAAATGAAAAAGAATCCTATATCGTAATTATCACGGAGAGGTGTGGTGGTCTAGTGGACGTCACCGGACTGTGGATCGTCATGGTTCACGGTTCGAGTCCCGCCGCGGCACTGGTGTACTTTGTATCTAGAACAGGTACGAACCTTTGAAATAATGAACTCTATTCCATTTCCGGACCTATAATAATCCTGTGGATGAACAAAACCTCGGACTAATAATATTTAGAATAATGACGCGCCGAAGTAATGCACCAAAATATACCTTCAGAAGCCCCCCTTCCGAATCCCCCCCCGGCCCCTCCTCCAATCGGTTCCTACACGGTACACCCACCATCTAGTATATAGCCTTTAGGGATAGTATTTCTCCATATATTTCATTTAATCTTTGTGTAAATCAAAGATAATTTGTACGAAGAAATATAGTAGGAGGGTTAGAGAGAGAGAGTTTCTGACTTTGGTTCAATTATTACCCCCTGAGGGGTGGGCCGATCCCGGAGGTACTGCAATACCGGGCCAACCCGTGACCAGGATGGAGCAAGCCCCTATTCCATGGTCTAGATTCAAAAATCAGTTTAATATACAAGCGACTCGGTGAGTCGCGTTTCAGATATTAAGCTGAAAAGAACAGATACTACACATGATCTTAGCCAAAAGGCCGAGAAGCGATACCCAATTATTGTACATTTTGAATAACTATCCATTTATTTTGTATCGCACATGACGGTGAGTAAATTCCCGGGCAACCGTAAATAACGTTATATTTTTCCAAATATCTCAAAATCGGCGACATAAACGGCAAAATGAAGCGTACGTACTAAAATGCTGTTACTATGATTTATTCGATGAATTAAACCACATGCAACAAAACTCTTCTATTTTTTATAATTTGTACAGTTTTATGTGGAAACACTGAGGAAACATAACCACAATCCATCGAAATGCACTGACATGCATATTCATAAGTACGTACACGTGCATCAAAGCGATGAATCTCTTTGTACTTGAAAAGCTCGCATGTGACGTCATAATTGAATTACCTTAGCAAGCAGAACAAAGGTCGTGGAATTGACCGAACGATTGGTTGTCGATTACAGTCATGTAAAGCTATGCAGAGACCGAGCGTGCGCGCCACGACTTCGTACTGCACTCAAGAGGAAACGATCAAGATCCCAGACATAAATGTAGATATAGTAAGACAGATAAATAGTTTATTGGTTTCCACAATATCTCATTTTACAAAGAGTGTAACAACATATTGAACAATTATTATTACATACATACGATACTGGTACACACTATTCAGAAAAATTGTCCTTCAGTTGAACTTAAAAGCGGAGCTTGTTGATGGCGATAATTATGCTCCATAAAATACAAATCACATACTTAAGTAAAGTTAGGTTTATAAAATACAAATACACGCTAAAACAGGGAAATGGAGATTACAGGTATACATAAACCGATACCCACAATCAGTGGCGTACGCAGGATTTTTTCAAGGGGGGGTTTTAAAATCGGGTCCAAAATTTCGCAACGACTCAGGAAAATTTGAAAATCGCGCCGACCAAAAAGTCGCTCAGTGGGGGGGGGGGGGGGGGGGGGGGTGTAAGCGGACACTTTTTTTTTTTTGGGGGGGGGGAGTCCAAAAAAAATCGCAACGACTCAGCCAGCCGAAAAGTCGCTCAGGGGGGGGGGGGGGGGGGGGGGGGGGGGGGGGGGGGGAGGGGTAAGAGGACACTTTTTTTTTTTTTTTTTGGTCTCGAAATTTGAAAATTTGACATTTTGCTCCGTTGGGGGGGGGGGGTAAGGTCACCTTTCTTAGGTCAGCCATGGGGGTAATTTTTTTTTTTTTTTTTTTTTTTAAATAATTAAAAAAAAAAAAAAAAAAAAAAATGCAAAGGGGGGGGGGGGGGTTTAACCCCCCAAACACCCCCCCTGCGATCTCGATATTTAACGTAAACCTGGAATAAGGGGGGTTTTAGGAATTTTTTAGGGGGGTTTACACACACAAAAATACCAAAGCGGGGGGGGTTTAACCCCCCAAACACCCCCCTGCGTACGCGCCTGCCCACAATCAACTACTAAGGGAAAGGAAAAGGAATTTATCTGCAGCTTCTTCTTTCTTCTTATCGAGTCACTACACAAGTCCCGTCCAGTGGTCCACACAGGCTTTAGCACGGCAATTAACGGCTTCCAGGTCATCTTGGGTGCATGGCTCTGGCAGGAGTGGGCAGACTAGCAGGTGTTCCATTGTCTGTTCCTGGCCGCATTCACATGCCGTTTGTTCGTCTCCTAGACCCCACCTCTGCATTAGGACTCTGCATCGACCGTAGCCAGTTCTTAGGCGGTTGAGGCTAAGCCAGGTAGGCCAAGTCTCACTGGAGCCGGTTGCGAGGGATTCCTTCGGGCTGAGGGAGAGTTTATGTGGAGTGGTCTGAAGGTGGTTAGACCACAAAGTCATCCTTTGGTTGTGAGGGCTAGTATTAAGAGGCTCTACCGAGTGCAGAAAGCTGTGTCTGGATTTGAGCCGCTTGCCCACTGGCTGTTGTTCGAAGAGTGGGTGGAGTGGATTGTTTTCTTGTTTGTCCTTTTCTTTCTGGGACAAGACCAACCTTCTGACGTGTGGAGGGGCAATACCGCAGAGCAGGTAGATGTCTTCTACTTTAGTTGGCCTTAGGCATCCAGTGATCGCTCTGCAAGATGAATTTAGAGCTGGGTCAATCTTGGGTGCATGGGCCGACCTACTCCATACTGGTGATGCATACTCCGCAGCAGAGAAGCAAAGCGCGAGGGCTGTCGTCCGGATTGTTCTGGCATCAGTCCCCCAGTTGGTGTTGGCTAGCTTCTTGAGGATGCTGTTGCGGGCTCCAACTTTTGCCTTTGTGTTGGCAATGTGGTTCTTGTAGGTAAGGGAGCGATCGAGTGTGACGCCTAAGTAGACTGGGTTGGGAGTGTGCTTCAGCCTTTTCCCATACCAGCTGATCCTTAGTTGATGGTTGGCATCCCTGTTCTTGAGGTGGAATGCGCTTATCTGAGTTTTATCAGGGTTAGCTCTCAGGTGGTTGGTCGCATAGTATGGGATGAGACCGGCCAGGGCATCACTGAGGGACTCCTCCAACTTCACAAAAGACTGGTTCTGGGTGGCGATGCAGAGATCATCGGCGTAGAGGAAGCTCCTGGTGTTTGGGTGGATCGGTTGGTCATTCGTGTACACGTTAAAGAGTAACGGTGCGAGCACACTTCCTTGTGGTAGGCCATTTTTCTGTCTGCGCCATCTGCTGCGATTCCCATTGAGAACCACAAAATATCGCCGATTGGACAGCAACGTCTGGATGAGTCCAGTCAGTCTTACGTCCTTTGTCAGCTCAAAGATCTTCCTGGTAAGGATTCTGTGGTTCACGGTGTCGTAGGCAGCAGAGAGATCAACGAAAGCAGCTCCGGTGATTAACTTACTCTCATACCCGTCCTCGATGAACTGAGTGAGGTTTAGGAGTTGGCCAGTGCATGATTTTCCTGGCCTAAACCCTGCTTGTTCTGGAATGAGATGTTCATCCACGAATGGGGCGATGCGGTTAAGGATAAGCCGCTCGAACAGCTTATATGTATGGCACAGTAGGGAGATAGGCCTGTAGCTCTTTGGACTGGCTGCGTCTTTACCAGGCTTCAATAGGGCAATAACTTTGGATTTCCTCCAGAGCTTTGGGATGTTGTTGGTGCCCAAACATTCGTTGAACATTTTGAGAAGCCAGTTGAGGGCGCCTGGTCTAAGCTGTTTGATCTGCTCGCAGAGGATGTCATCAAGTCCAGCAGCTTTGTTGTTTTTCATTGCTTTGATGGCAGCAAGCAGGTCGTCCATGGTGAACGGTCTAGTGAAGCCTGGGTCATCTTGAGAGCTTAGAGCGTCTGGGACCTTAGGGAGTCTGGCTCTTCTGGGGTGATGGTCAGGGTTTCCCCGACCATTCAATAGGAGTTGATGGGCAACTTGGTCAGCAGTGACTTCAGATCTTGGTTGGGCCTTTGTATAGTCATTGCCCAGTATCCGGATCGTTTTCCATGCCTTCCTGCTGCTATGTGTCATGTCAGTGGATTGAATGAATTCCTGCCACTTCCTCCTTCTAGATTCACCAATTTCCTTGGTCAGATTTTCTCCAGATTCCAGTGTCTCCTCACTAAAGGGGTCCATCTGGAAGTGTTCGATGTAGTCTTCATACATCACCTTGGAGTGGTCCGTCAAGCCTTGAATGTAGCTTGTGCGACATCCTCGGGGGATGTTACGCCTTGACGATTTCTTCATCAACTCTACAAAGGTGTCGTAGTTTTGGGGGGTGGCAGGTAGGTCCTGGATGTAGGAGTCAAAGTCCTTAGCAAACTTTTCCCAGTTTGCCTTCCTCAGGTTGAAACGACGTCGGAAGGGTACTGCTCGTGGAGTGGGGGTGCAGCTTATTCATTGCCTTATTGAAACAGTATAGTTTGTTCTTAATAAGTAGAACACTTAGATGGCATGGCCATACCTTTATTTACTCAGGGATTGTAATCAACAAAAATACAGTTTGGAGACAAAAATAGGCAGGAATCAGGAACTACAATATGTATTCAAATAATGCCATTTCAATTTTCTTCTGAATACATAAACAATTACAGACCTTTTAATCACAGAATCGAGAGAATTCCAGAACTGTATTTTGAGCAAAGCGTGTTTTCGTTCTACGAAGGTGATCTGAAAACGCCTGTCGGGTAGGATAGTCGTAAACTTGATTTTTTTTTCCTTGTTCAACGATTCAAACGTTTGAAATCAAATTTCTTTATCATAACTCATGATTGCTGCCTCAGACAGAAACTCCATCATAGTCTTGGTAATGGCGCCCCCTTTTGATGGTGCACGGCACATGTCCTATTTGCCCTACCCTCGATATCGCATTTGATATCTTTGGCAGCCTGGGGCGGACTAGAATACTCGAACAAGGGGTATGCCAGGTGTACAACGGAGAATATATGGTTTTGGCGGTTCGGTGTTAATACGAGAAAGGTAAAAATATAAGAGGTGAACATGTCAGAAGTTATGATGTGCACTCAGAAATTATTTAAACCCTGTATTGACCTGTGACATTTTGACCTCGGATAATGTTACCTCTGACAGTTTTCCCTCTTACACGAATGTATAGCGTCAGTTAATTTGGGCAAATTCCGGGGTTACTCGAGCCCCCATCTTAATTATGGGGGGGGGGGGGGGGGAGGGGCTGCATATTATGATAATCTTCCTTTATGTTGGTATATTAAGCAACTCTTTTCTATAAATTATTGAAATTTCGTCAAAGGTGATGAAACATAAGCAAATAGAGCTTGAATCATTACAACACCTTTCAAATATATAATATAGGACAAATACAATTCCTAACCTTTAGTAGTGAACTATTTACACTTTGTACAAAGAACAACAAAAAACAACAGAAAAAACAACAGAAGTATATTGTTAAGTCTAGTAAAAAAAATTATGTTCGATAAAATGAGAACTAATATATAGAATATTATGTAAGTAATATCTTAAATCTGTGAAATGATAATACATTTGAGTGCTCTTTTGAAGGAGTTTGTTGACTTTATATTTCGAATATTGTTAGGTAAAGAATTTCATACATCTGGACCCCTATGTCTGATCGATTTCTGGGCTAA